GCAGTAAAGACTGTGCTGCCAGGACGCACGACGGAAGCCATCGCTTCTCCAATAATCTCGAAGACAGACATCGAGAAAATCAACAGATCCTCAAGCTGCAGCTTTGGGACTCGGTCGGTTCAGATCAACCACATGTGCCACTCTTCTTCTCGAAGAACCGTTGCATACAAGTATAGTCGTATAGTTTCCACTCACTTTTCAATAGGCATCCTATGCTTTCTACGTCAGAGAGTGTCGCTTCCTGGGCTCTTGCGCGTGCGGATGACACTGACCCTATAAGTCTTCAACCCCATAATACATACATGTGCCGCAACTCCTGTAATTCATGCAGCACAAGGAGCCGACCAGTTCCACCACTTGTCTTTACCGAAGAACATTGCTCTGCCTCCGCACCGCCAGTGAAATCACTCGCTGCGACAATTTGGGGTAACTGGGCTACATCGTTCGGCCTAGTACGACATTTCGCTCAAGCAGCCCTCACTAGTTCCTTGTCGACCAGCTTATTGGGTTTGGTCTCGGGGGGCGGTTCAGACAGTGTTCACAATTCGAGGCGGGGGTTGGCATTTGTGGAAGAGACTAGTTTAGCTGGGGTCTTCGAAGCCTCTCCATCACTAACGATTCAGCTGGCAGCTTGTGTGCCCATGCAGGTCTATAAACCCTGTGAAGCGCGTAGAGCCCTGAACTGCGGACGGCGCCCCCCCCCACCCCCTCGGAAAGCAAGCGGCCGCCGTAGGCATGCAGCTTGAGGAGGATCTCGAACAGAAAGAAGCACACGATCACCATGTTCCTAGGTAAGATCCACTCTTGTACTCAACTCAACTTTTTTGTTGTTTTATTACCGGATTAATTATTCTTTTTGAGGCTCAGGGGGGGGGGTACATAACTTGCTTCTCATGGTATCCTGATCTTCAAGGAAGGTTCTTCCCCAAAGAAAAGGGTAAAATCAAGCAAGTCTGCATAAGTCTGCAAGCGCATTCAGAACCCCCAGCCAGCAACAAAGGTCTGTAGGGGATGATTGTGTGGTGTCCCTGCGCTGGAGACGTGAAGCCCCCTTATACTAACAATCCTTCATCGGGATTCTGGTAACCCCCTACTATAATACCTATTAAGGACTGTTAGTATACAGGGGAACATCCCAAGTAGTAGCTTAGTCCGGGTCGTGAGGGTGCAGGGTTTCGAGGCCCAATCTCTGGTGGTTTTCAGATCCAAGAGAGGAGGAGAGGGTTTAGGGCTTTGGGCTTTAGGGTTTAGGGTTTAGGGTTTAGGGTGACCTGAAGCCACTGAATCAGCTCTCGGCGAGGCGCGCAACCTGAAACCCATGCATCTGAGCGTTTGGCGGCAGCTTCGCAGACTGGTCCACCTTGTGTGGGGCTCTTGGCTGCCAAGCTGGGGCCTGTGTGTAACAAAACGTGTTCCTGCACACTTCCAATCATGTTGAGCTGAATATAGCTGAATGCTGATGTTCAGAGAGGGGGATGCAACAAAGACCTCCGCCCAGCAGCAGCTTGTTTCTGCAGAAGCTGCAGCTGCTATCTTTGACAGATGTCAGATCATCAGCTTTGCTTATTACTGCTCTGTACCCACTCATGCCATGACCCAGAAAAAAAACCAAGCAAACATGCTTCCCTCCCAACATCCACAAACAAATCGAACTAGTTCGCGTGAGAGCAGGGCAAGTCCAAGCCGACCTCAAGCCGACGAAAGAGGGTTCTGTGGAGCCTTGTCGCCATGCTTCGATCTGAGGAAGCACCCGCTATCCATGCAGCATGTGCTGGGACGAGCTTGCACCAACACCCAAACCGCACCTTCGAACTCCCCCCCCCCCAACCAAATCTCAAAATGCTAAGTAAGACTTTTGAAGGACTGCAGCAGGGCTGACGACCAGAGTGCATCGTAAACGTGGAGTGCCATGCCACTAGGGGATTCTAGCTCTGCAGATTCTCAACGGCAGCCCTACTCAAAGATCGCAAGCGTCTAAACTACTAAACCTAAGCGGTAACCTAAGCCACGAAAAAACCAAACCCTGAAGCCCTGAATACCAAACCATAGACACTAAGTACGAACGCCTCAAGTGGCCTCTAAATTCACACGCAGGCCGGGTGCCTCCACCCCAAGAAGGATCAAGTTGATGAGAATGACGACGGGAACGCCAGCCTCGAGTTTCGGCACACGTTTGTTGACAATCCCTGATGTGTCGATTTTGAGAGCATTGCTGGGCATTCGCATGAAATCAAAATATCTGAATCGGCTAAAAGGAGGGCCCTATGAGATTGCCCATTAGGCCACGGACCTTGGTGGCAAAACACAAACCCAACGTGTTGAGAACCTGAAAACTTTGGGCACGGCGGCTCTCGGCTTTAAGGTAGACAGGGTACTCTATGCGGTCATACTGTCGCCCAGCATTTAGGGTAGGTCAGTCTGAGCCAAGAAGCCCGGAACGCACCCGATCGTACTGTCCGAAGCGACCACGAATCGGAGACCTTCGGGTCATCATATTCGCCTCTCCATCGGCGGCTGTGGAGGGGAAGTGAAGATATGGCTTCCAATTTGTAGATTCGCAGTCCTACTGGTCGTTTGGATCCGGGATGCTTAGTTAAGTGGAGATGCATTGCATAATGCACCTCTTCTGAGGGTATGGGTCATAGGAGTCATAGGTCCATGCTGAGCATTTTGTTTGACACTCGCGACAAGACTTCTGAGCAGTGTGGCTGGGAAGCCTACCAATACGGACTCGACAGCAGAACGAATTACAAGTCTACACCGTGGGCATTTCGGCCGCAACTACGACAACTCAGAAACGACGATGGCGACGGCGACGTCGTCACACAGCGGGTGGGCCCTAAAGCGTTGAATGACAAGACTAGCTGTTTGCATAATATATATATATATACAAAATTATTTCATATGTATACTGCGAATATACGTACATGCATATACATGTACATATATATATATGTATATATATATAGAGGTATGTATGTATACAGGTATATACATATATATATATATGTGAGAGGGACCTTTTGGGTCCATTTCACGTATATCACTTGTATGAGGAATTTAATTTATTTACCTATTAATTTCTTTAATTTCTTTAATTTCTGGGGCTCTCTTAGGGAAATAAATGAAATTAAAGAAATTAATTAATTTCTTTAATTTCTTTAATTTCTGGGCCTCTCTGTGCGAAATTAAAGAAATTAAAGAAATTAATTAATTTCATTAATTTCTTTAATTTCCGGGCCTCTCTGTGAGAAATTAAAGAAATTAAAGAAACTAAATAATTTCATTAATTTCTTTAATTTCTGGGCCTCTCTGTGCGAAATTAAAGAAATTAAAGAAATTAATTAATTTCTTTAATTTCATTAATTTCATTAATTTCTTTAATTTATTTTAATTAGTCCCGTGAGCCGGGGGGGGGCCCCAATTAATTTCTTTTATTTCTTTAATTTCTGGGCCTCTCTGTGAGAAATTAAAGAAATTAAAGAAATTAATTCCGGTAGCCCTTCGGGCTTGCGAGACTAATTAAAAGAAATTAAAGAAATTAAAGAAATTAATGAAATTAATTAATTTCTTTAATTTCTTTAATTTCTGGGCCTCTCTGTGAGAAATTAAAGAAATTAAAGAAATTAATTAATTTCATTAATTTCTTTAATTTCTGGGCCTCTCTGTGAGAAATTAAAGAAATTAAAGAAATTTTTCATTAATTTCTTTAATTTCTGGGCCTCTCTGTGCGAAATTAAAGAAATTAAAGAAATTAATTAATTTCTTTAATTTCATTAATTTCATTAATTTCTTTAATTTATTTTAATTAGTCCCGTGAGCCGGGGGGCCCCCCCCAATTAATTTCTTTAATTTCTTTAATTTCTGTGCCTCTCTGTGAGAAATTAAAGAAATTAAAGAAATTAATCAATTTCATTAATTTCTTTAATTTCTGGGCCTCTCTGTGAGAAATTAAAGAAATTAAAGAAATTAAAGAAATTAAAGAAATTAAAGAAATTAAAGAAATTAAAGAAATTAATTAATTTCATTAATTTCTGGGCCTCTCTGTGCGAAATTAAAGAAATTAAAGAAATTAATTAATTTGTTTAATTTCATTAATTTCATTAATTTCTTTAATTTATTTTAATTAGTCCCGTGAGCCGGGGTGGCTACCCCAATTAATTTCTTTAATTTCTTTAATTTCTGTGCCTCTCTGTGAGAAATTAAAGAAATTAAAGAAATTAATTCCGGTAGCCCTTCGGGCTTGCGAGACTAATTAAAAGAAATTAAAGAAATTAAAGAAATTAAAGAAATTAATGAAATTAATTAATTTCTTTAATTTCTTTAATTTCTGGGCCTCTCTGTGAGAAAATAAAGAAATTAAAGAAATTAATTAATTTCATTAATTTCTTTAATTTCTGGACCTCCCTATGAGAAATTAAAGAAATTAAAGAAATTAATTAATTTCATTAATTTCTTTAATTTCTGGGCCTCTCTGTGCGAAATTAAAGAAATTAAAGAAATTAATTAATTTCATTAATTTCTTTTTAATTAGTCCCGTGAGCCGGGGTGAAAATTAAAGAAATTAAGCTTTCACCCCAACTAATTAAAAGAAATTAAAGAAATAAAGAAATTAAAGAAATTAAGAAATTAATTAATTTCATTAATTTCTTTAATTTCTGGGCCTCTCTATGAGAAATTAAAGAAATTAAAGAAATTAATTAATTTCATTAATTTCTTTAATTTCTGGGCCTCTCTGTGCGAAATTAAAGAAATTAAAGAAATTAATTAATTTCTTTAATTTCATTAATTTCACTAATTTCTTTAATTTATTTTAATTAGTCCCGTGAGCCGGGGGGGCTACCCCAATTAATTTCTTTAATTTCTTTAATTTCTGTGCCTCTCTGTGAGAAATTAAAGAAATTAAAGAAATTAATTCCGGTAGCCCTTCGGGCTTGCGAGACTAATTAAAAGAAATTAAAGAAATTAAAGAAATTAAAGAAATTAATGAAATTAATTAATTTCTTTAATTTCTTTAATTTCTGGGCCTCTCTGTGAGAAATTAAAGAAATTAAAGAAATTAATTAATTTCATTAATTTCTTTAATTTCTGGGCCTCTCTGTGAGAAATTAAAGAAATTAAAGAAATTAATTAATTTCATTAATTTCTTTTATTTCTGGGCCTCTCTGTGCGAAATTAAAGAAATTAAAGAAATTAATTAATTTCTTTAATTTCATTAATTTCATTAATTTCTTTAATTTATTTTAAGTAGTCCCGTGAGCCGGGGGGGGGCCCCAATTAATTTCATTAATTTCTTTAATTTCTGGGCCTCTCTGTGCGAAATTAAAGAAATTAATGAAATTAATTAATTTCTTTAGTTTCATTAATTTCTTTAATTTATTTTAATTAGTCCCGTGAGCCGGGGGGGCTCCCCCAATTAATTTCTTTAATTTCTGTAATTTCTTTAATTTCTGGGCCTCTCTGTGAGAAATTAAAGAAATTAAAGAAATTAATTCCGGTAGCCCTTCGGGCTTGCGAGACTAATTAAAAGAAACTAATGAAATTAAAGAAATTACAGAAATTAATGAAATTAATTAATTTCTTTAATTTCTTTAATTTCTGGGCCTCTCTGTGAGAAAATAAAGAAATTAAAGAAATTAATTAATTTCATTAATTTCTTTAATTTCTGGGCCTCCCTATGAGAAATTAAAGAAATTAAAGAAATTAATTAATTTCATTAATTTCTTTAATTTCTGGGCCTCTCTGTGCGAAATTAAAGAAATTAAAGAAATTAATTAATTTCTTTAATTTCATTAATTTCATTAATTTCATTAATTTCTTTAATTTATTTTAATTAGTCCCGTGAGCCGGGGGGGCTACCCCAATTAATTTCTTTAATTTCTTTAATTTCTGGGCCTCTCTGTGAGAAATTAAAGAAATTAAAGAAATTAATTCAGGTAGCCCTTCGGGCTTGCGAGACTAATTAAAAGAAATTAAAGAAATTAAAGAAATTAAAGAAATTAATGAAATTAATTAATTTCTTTAATTTCTTTAATTTCTGGGCCTCCCTATGAGAAATTAAAGAAATTAAAGAAATTAATTAATTTCATTAATTTCTTTAATTTCTGGGCCTCTCTGTGCGAAATTAAAGAAATTAAAGAAATTAATTAATTTCTTTAATTTCATTAATTTCATTAATTTCTTTAATTTATTTTAATTAGTCCCGTGAGCCGGGGGGGCTACCCCAATTAATTTCTTTAATTTCTTTAATTTCTGTGCCTCTCTGTGAGAAATTAAAGAAATTAAAGAAATTAATTCCGGTAGCCCTTCGGGCTTGCGAGACAAATTAAAAGAAATTAAAGAAATTAAAGAAATTAAAGAAATTAATGAAATTAATTAATTTCTTTAATTTCTTTAATTTCTGGGCCTCTCTGTGAGAAATTAAAGAAATTAAAGAAATTAATTAATTTCATTAATTTCTTTAATTTCTGGGCCTCTCTGTGAGAAATTAAAGAAATTAAAGAAATTAATTAATTTCATTAATTTCTTTAATTTCTGGGCCTCTCTGTGCGAAATTAAAGAAATTAAAGAAATTAATTAATTTCTTTAATTTCATTAATTTCATTAATTTCTTTAATTTATTTTAAGTAGTCCCGTGAGCCGGGGGGGGGGCCCCAATTAATTTCTTTAATTTCTTTAATTTCTGGGCCTCTCTGTGAGAAATTAAAGAAATTAAAGAAATTAATTCCGGTAGCCCTTCGGGCTTGCGAGACTAATTAAAAGAAATTAATGAAATTAAAGAAATTAAAGAAATTAATGAAATTAATTAATTTCTTTAATTTCTTTAATTTCTGGGCCTCTCTGTGAGAAATTAAAGAAATTAAAGAAATTAATTAATTTCATTAATTTCTTTAATTTCTGGGCCTCTCTGTGCGAAATTAAAGAAATTAAAGAATTAGTTAATTTCTTTAATTTCATTAATTTCATTAATTTCTTTAATAAAATTTCCCTGATGTTTCCCTGTTGCGCTTTTTTTTGGCCCCGATTGTTTCAGGGAAGTTTTCCCTTGAAACCCCTGTGTAGTGCTAGAATTTCCCCTCGAATCCCTTTAAGGCTTCGTGTATCTGTACCGCGTTCCCTTTTCTATTCCCTTACTTTCGTGCTGAAACCATCGCCCTTTCTTTCCCTTAATTTCCCCAGTCATCCCTTAAAGAAAGGGACGCCTTCAAGATGTAGGAAGGATTTTTCATATAGTTGTGTGTACAATGGCTTGGTACTAGCGCTCTAATTTTCAAGAAGCTGTTTTGCAAGTAATGTGTGTCACGAGTTTGCTACGTTCATAGGCAGACGATGTAAATACACCCTCTCTAAACAAACCATTTCCCCTAAACCCTGAACCCTAAACTCTAAACCCTAAACCCTAAACGCTCAAAGACTCCTACGGCCTCCAGGCCCTCTAAGAATCCCAAGTTCTCTAAGACTCCCAAGCCCCCTACACTTCCTAAGGCCCCGAAGCTCCCC